GGGGTGTATGAGTGTAGGAGGGAGTGTGAGTGTGGGGGGGGTGTATGAGAGTGTGGGAGGGAGTGTGAGTGTGTGTGCACGCACACGTGTGCAGGTGCCTGCCCAGACTCCTAACAGAATGGAGGAGGGACGAGGGAACAGAGATGTGGCCACACCCCCTGGAGGGCCTTTTCCTGTCCCCCTCTGGAGAGCACACTACCCTCGCAGTCACAGCAGGTGTTTGTAACAGTGAGTTGCGTGTGTGTCACTGTGGAGGCTGAGTCTGCGTCCCACGCGCTGCCCCCGTCCCTCGGCCTCTGCCCACCCCTCCGTGCCCTTCACCCGCAGGCACAGGCTGAGATGGCACAGCTTCCAGAGCTCGCACCGGCCGAGCCTCAGTTCGGCATCGCTGCAGATCAGCTGCCAGTCGGTCGCGCAGATGAACCTGCTTCAGAAGTACTCCCTGCTGAAGCTGACCGCCCTGCTGGAGAAGTACACGCCGTCCAACAAGCACGGCTTCAGCTGGTAAGAGCTTCCTGCCGTGCCGAGTACACACTTCCTCAGCTCCCGGGCCGTCCGTCAGAGTGCCGTCTGTCCTTCAGTATGGCTGTAGTCTGTCACCCTGCCGGGGTCAGCCAGAGGTCGCATTTGAGACTGCTTGTGCCAGTGGGAATTGCTGGTTGGTTGAGCTTAGCCCTGAGTGACAGCTGTCGCGAGTGAGGGTCTCACACCACAAATGCAGGCCCCTCCTTCCCAAAGGCTGGAATACGCTGTCTGGGTAAATAGATGTCCAGCATCCGACAGGAGGAGGGGAGGACGAAGGCCAGTCCACGGCCTGGTGGTTGAGCTGGCTGGATCCCACATGGCTAACCACAAGGCTCGAGTCCCAGACCCTGCCACTCCAGAAACACCTGGCATGTGTGCGTGGGAGCCCAGAGTCCCACAAGGAGGGGGCGACAGAGGGAGAGGACTGTGCCATGACCACGCCCGGGGGACACTTTCCCATCCCCCCCTCTCTCCAGCGAGCACACATGCCCTCTGGCAGATTATAAGAAAGAATTCCTGATGGAAAATGTTAAGATGCTGTGAGACCACCATTGACACACGTAATGTCTAACACCTGGCTTTACACCCCCATGCACGCATGTTTTTAGAATCATTTTTGCTGCGACTATTTGCAGCGTCACTCAGAAATCTGCCTGTGCTGGGGCCAGCAGTTAGCGTAATGGTTATGTCGCTGGACTCCCATGTGGCCAGCCGCGGTTCGAGTCCCTGACCCGGTGGCTTAAAACTCACACTGGGCGCGTGTGCGTGTGTGCCCAAGATCCTGAGAGGAGAACGGAGAAGGGATTGCGGTGTGGTCATCCCCTCTGGGGGTGATTTCTCACTTTCTGTCTCTCTGTCTCTCTGTCTGTCTGGCGAGCGCACGCACCCAATGGCAAAAACCTCTCCAAAAAAAGAAAGAAAGAAAGAAAGAAAGAAAGAAAGAAAGAAAGAAAGAAAAAGAAATCTGCCCGTGCTAAAGAGTTTGTGTTCTGTATTTTTCCAGCAAGACATTCAGGCAGTTGAATAATAAATGTTAGGAATCCACTCCTGAAAGCTGCACTGTGGACTAAAATAAGGATGAAGTTCATTGAACGCGCTTTCGGAATCACGGTGGGAAATACGGGCTCGAACGTGCAGTGTGGGAGGCAGGCTCGTGCTGATTGGTCTGTGTGCATCTCAGTTTTTCTGCTATCGGTGCAGAACAGAAAGGTGTCACTTGGGTGACATCTCAGTGCACTTTCCCTGTCGGCTGGGTGTCCTCAAATCTTTTCATTAATCCGAGTGTTTATTATCCAGCTGGACAACTGCTTTTTATAAAGGCGAAGAAGCGGCCGTGTCGTAAGAAACGCGCTGCACCAAACTCGACCCGCAGGATCCCATCCCCCCCTCTCTCCAGCGAGCACACATGCCCTCTGGCAGATTATAAGAAAGAATTCCTGATGGAAAATGTTAAGATGCTGTGAGACCACCATTGACACACGTAATGTCTAACACCTGGCTTTACACCCCCATGCACGCATGTTTTTAGAATCATTTTTGCTGCGACTATTTGCAGCGTCACTCAGAAATCTGCCTGTGCTGGGGCCAGCAGTTAGCGTAATGGCTATGTCGCTGGACTCCCATGTGGCCAGCCGCGGTTCGAGTCCCTGACCCGGTGGCTTAAAACTCACACTGGGCGCGTGTGCGTGTGTGCCCAAGATCCTGAGAGGAGAACGGAGAAGGGATTGCGGTGTGGTCATCCCCTCTGGGGGTGATTTCTCACTTTCTGTCTCTCTGTCTCTCTGTCTGTCTGGCGAGCGCACGCACCCAATGGCAAAAACCTCTCCAAAAAAAGAAAGAAAGAAAGAAAGAAAGAAAGAAAGAAAGAAAGAAAGAAAGAAAGAAAGAAAGAAAGAAAGAAAGAAAAAGAAATCTGCCCGTGCTAAAGAGTTTGTGTTCTGTATTTTTCCAGCAAGACATTCAGGCAGTTGAATAATAAATGTTAGGAATCCACTCCTGAAAGCTGCACTGTGGACTAAAATAAGGATGAAGTTCATTGAACGCGCTTTCGGAATCACGGTGGGAAATACGGGCTCGAACGTGCAGTGTGGGAGGCAGGCTCGTGCTGATTGGTCTGTGTGCATCTCAGTTTTTCTGCTATCGGTGCAGAACAGAAAGGTGTCACTTGGGTGACATCTCAGTGCACTTTCCCTGTCGGCTGGGTGTCCTCAAATCTTTTCATTAATCCGAGTGTTTATTATCCAGCTGGACAACTGCTTTTTATAAAGGCGAAGAAGCGGCCGTGTCGTCAGTAACGCGCTGCCGCAGACTCGAGCCGCTGGAGTCTGCCAAGCAGCGGGACTGTGCTTCCTCCAGCTCCCCCTCTCCTGGGCCTGCTAGAGAATTCTCTCCAGCATCAAAGTGCCTCCTGTCCGAAGGCTGCTATTATGCGAGCCTCCTAAATACAGAAGTTGTTTGTTCTGAACGACAGAAATAAGTGTTGACCGGTTTACCCCACATGCTTCAGATTCTCGGCGGGACTCGTAACGTGTTCTTCCCCACGTCCTGCCGCTGGCTTTTGTCCCCGCTCCCTGACAAAGCGCGTGTTGTGCACACGCACAGCCGCGACACCAGACACCACGCTGCCTGGGGACACGCGGGCTCGGCCTTCGGGCTCACTGCTCCAAGGGCTATAAAAGGCCTGTGTCCTGGCTGTCGGTCAGCAGGAGTCAGCGTGGTTTCTGCAGCGCTCTCTGTGCTCGGTCATATTTTCCTCCAGCTATTTAAAACTGCATATTTCACATTCTCATTTCTGAGTTGCCCGCCCCTTCCCCACCAAACCCTCAAGAATCTACACGTCCATAGTACTTCGTTCTGGTCTGGTCAGTTTTTCCAGTGAGTCAGAACCAAGTGGAAAAGGCCTGCATTGTGGGGTGTGTGGAGCAGGGAGAAACCCTACAGGGTCCTTTCCCTGTTCGGCCGCGCCCTTTCTTGTCCCATTCAGAGAGGTCATCTGGAGAGCTGAAATTGCTGCTTGACAGCCTCAAACGCGTGACATCGGTTTCCTGCCGTTGCACATGCTGGTGGGGGCGGACCTGGTCTCAAGACTCCAGGGAGCCTGGGGGCAGCTTACAAACCTCCCATTGTTCCTCTTCCATCTTCCTCTGCAGAGTAAAGAGTTCTGTTCTCTGGGGTCACCAGCAGAATCTGACTTCAGGCCCTTCGCCCCTGAGCTCCAGAGCCGCGCAGTTGCCTTAGGCCTACCCCAGGCTCCGCTGTCCTCCTGCACCCTCTGCTGTTCTCCTGCAGCGTGGCCTGCACCTTTTACCTAAGTGTTTCCATCTCCTCGGGAACTCAGACGAGCTCCCTGTCTCCTTTTTAGGACAAATGGGAGCTAATTTTTCAAACTCTTAATCAGAAACATCTAATTAGGGTATCTCGTGTCATTTTCTGCCCTGGCTTCTTCCTCTACTGCCATTGCTCTAAGGAAACCCGTGGCCGTCTGTAGACCGCAGAGCCCAAGGTTAGCGAGGAAGCGTGACCGGGCCCCAGCCCCAGCTTGGGATGATCACAGCATGTCTCCAGGCATGTCTGTGATGGCGGGACGTTCTTGTGTGCAGTCTGCGCCAGCCCCCGGCCACACGGGACTAGGGAGCCCTGGCTGTGTAGCTAGGGCATCTGGGAAACTGGACTTGTCATTTTATTCCATGTACCTGGAAGTAGCGACCGTGTAGTGCAGATCTGGAGCCCAGCAGTTTACCTGCAGAGGTGGGCGAGAGCAGGCAGGCAGGTAACCCGCCCTCCGTGTCCTTTAACAGGGCGGTGCCCAAGTTCATGAAAAGGATCAAGGTTCCAGACTACAAGGACCGGAGCGTGTTTGGGGTCCCGCTGACGGTCAACGTGCAGCGCACGGGACAGCCGCTGCCCCAGAGCATACAGCAAGCCATGCGCTACC